CATTAGCAATCACGCTGGTAACATCTCAAATTTGAAAATATTTTTTAAATTGTAATAAATATGTACATTTACACTTATATATGTTAACAAGTTCTTAATGGTGTAATATACAAGTTGTGCTTATATTTGAAAGTGTTTTACTACAGTCAAGCTGCAACCCAGGTAACCTGTCCACTAGGAAGCAGTATTCATAAGGTTAGCTCAAAATTTCAATAGCTAGGCCGCCAAACTAGAGAGGCGATAAGGTAAAGTACAAGACCCTTTCATCGCCCCGGCAAGCCTTTTATGCGCTTTAGAGCCTCATGTTTAGTCAATACCGAATTATAATCATAAACAATACTATCCCATACTCTTTCATAATAATTTGACAACTACGTGGATTTTTTATTTAGTTGAATGGCTGTGGTATGAACCAATTAGTATCTCTCTTGTTAGTATTTGGGTATGTGTGTTTATATAAATTTTTCTTTTTTATTTTTTTTTTATGTATTAAATTATTGATTTTAATTATATTATATATTTATATATTTTTGTGTAATTTTTTTTCTAATTTTTTTTTATTAATTTATTTTTTATTTTTTTTAATATATTTTTTGTTTTGTTTTTTTTTAATATATTTTTTGTTTTGTTTTTTTTTTAATATATATTTTGTTTTGTTTTTTTTTTTAAATGCACGTACAATTTTTGTGATAATCGTAAGGTTGCTTACAAACTATCGTTAGTATTATTTACAATTTTATATTACATCTTTTGATGTGTTGGTAAGTATAAAATAATATACTAGTATTATTAGTAAATCTAATACCATTAAAATTAATTTGTAAAATTTGTCCATTTTTTGTTAGAACATTATAAAAGGTATTTAGGCTTTCCCAGTTTAGTAGAAATTCCAGTAACGTATGTTCCAAATTTCCGTATTCTCCACATAAACAGTATGGATTTTCAGCAATGCCTATTTTGTGTTTATATGATGGAGTTTATGAATGATGCTCTGTTTATAGTTATTACAAAGTGCCTGTTTGTTACGGAATGAAACCATCTTAATCTTGGAATTTGTTTTTGATAATTTTTAAAGTTTAAACCATTTAACGTGTTATCATATTTTTCCTGCCAATCAGATATAATTTTTTCTTTAAATAATGATTTTAAATCTGAATATGGGATACAGTTTGCAGATAATACATCTTTAGACAAATGGGATGAATTAGCTAAGTTGTCTGCTATTTCGTTGCCTTTTATTCCCGAATGTCCTTTAATCCAAACCACAATTAATGTTTTATTTTGCTTTGTTATTTCAACATTTTCTTTTGGTATATCTAGTTCTAGAAGCGAGATCTGTGAGGATGTATTTAAATTTACTAGACGGTCGACAGAACTTACTATCTGTGAAGATGATAAATTTTTAAATTGAATTATGCCATTTGTACCTCATTGCTTGCAAGATTGCATATAGTTCTAACGTGTATATTGATGCTTCTTTAGGAAAATTATATTCTTGGTGATGCTTTGTTTTAGAATCATAATAAGCACAATCTACATTGTTACTCATCTTAGACCCATGTGTAAAAATGTGATAATATTTTGGCCAGTTTATTGGTTGTTTTGTTAAAATCATCATTAGGATTAATATTCTTGGTATATATTTTATTTGAAAATAAGAAATTAAGAGCTTCTGTGTAATATGGGATGATTTTGTTTGTGTATATTATGTTTGAATATGTAGATAGTGAAGTATAACTTTCAACAAATAAAGGAGTCTTTTTAACTTGAAAGAATGGATGAGGGAGTACAAGTGCGGAAAGATTATGGACGGAAGAAATGTAATGTGCTTGTTTGGAAATGGCCCTTGACATAAATATATTGCTCATAAATTGTCGTCTATATTCTAGAGGAGGATTCGTGGCTTTAATTTCTATTGTATTGATGGGAGTTGACTTCAGGTATCCTAGTCAAATTCTAAGACTTTTGTTTTTTTGTATTTCTGTCTGCTGCTGATCCGTAAAGGTGACTCCCGTAATCTAGGATTGTCTTATCATAGTTTTGTAAAATAATAGAGCGATATTTGGGTCAGCTCCCCATTTTGTAAAACAGAATGCTTTTAATATGTTATTTGAATTCTCGGACTTTCTTATAACTTGTTGTATACAATCTTCCCATAGCAACTTCCGATCTAAATATAGGCCTAGATATTTTCCAGTATTTTTAATTGTGAAATTATAAGGCCCTAATTCCATTTGTCCTTGAGGAATATTTCTGTTTCTTGAAAATATGTAGACTTCTGATTTTTGTTCCGAGAGTGTGAGATTATTTGCATTTAGCCAATTGTGGACATTAAGTAAGGTAGAGTTAAGATTTTCTTTAGATTTAGGAATAGTTTTATCCCTGGAGTAAAGAACTATACAGTGTGTCTACTAAGGTTGGAACCATATGGAAAACATTTTTATTATTGATTTTAGGAAAAAAGTTATTCTTGATAAAAAGTCCTGCATGACCGAAAACCTAAAATACAGTCATCACATATCAAATTTTTCAAGCCGTATACGAGATTTGTCAAAAAATATGAATTTTGCTCAAGAGTAAAGTACGTTTATTTTTGACAAAATCGAAAATTTTCATTTAGAAAAGTTGATTAGAATTGAATATTACATTCAAATATGCAATTATATCGATCTATCTGAAAAAACAGATTTTCTTATTTTTTATAAACTGTACACTCTACACATTGATTGTAAATATCTGAAAACGTTATAAATTACGTTAGCTACTATAAACATGATACGCTTTCCTTTTGTTGATGTTTGATTTAGCAAATTTCTTAATGAAAATTTTCGATTTTGTAAAAAAATAAACGTACTTTACTCTTGAGCAAAATTCATATTTTTTGACAAACCTCGTATACGGCTTAAATAATTTGATATCTTAGGACTGTATTTTAAGTTTTGGGTCATGCAGGACTTTTTATCAAGAATAACTTTTTTTCCTAAAATCAATAATAAAAATGTTTTCCATATGGTTACAACTTAAGTAGACACACTGTATATATGATCGGCAAATTGGATAATTTTTGTATTTTCTAAGCAACTTTCTATGTCCATTGTATACAATATGCAATAGACTTAATATACTCCCTTGTGGGAGTCCGAGATGTGTATAACGAGGAGTTGAGAGTACCTACTTGATTTATCTTTAAGTAGATTAGTCTGTTTGAATATAAGGATGTTATCAGAGAGGAGATTTGTGTTGGGATGCCAATGGAAATCAGCTTTAAGAATAAAGTTTCAAGATTAATGCTGTCAAATGCTGAGCTTATATCTACAAATGATGCTAAGGTAGTTGATTTTTAAGTAAATCCTATTAGTATGTCAGCTACTAATGATGTTAAAGCTTCTAAGGTAGATTTAGATTTCCTTAACCCATATTGTTACTCTGGTAAAATATTTTCTTTCTCTAGCCTTTGCTCAAGTCTATTTTTAATAAGCCTTTCAATAATGTTTTAAACATGCATGATGCTAAGAAAATTGGTCGATAGGAGTTTGGATTATCTGGTTTTTACTTGGTTTTAATATAGGTAAAAAGATATATTCTTTCCAAGTTTCTGGTATTGCCCTACGGCCTATCCAAACAGAGTTATATATCTGTAAAAGAGATACTTTTTGGTCTTTTGGTAGATTTGATATCATTGAATAGGAGATATTGTCTTTTCCATGCGAAGTATTGTTATTTTGCTTTAGTGCTTGCTCGAGCTCCCACATTTCAAAGGGTTTTAATAAGTTTAAATTATTTCTGGGAACGCTAGTCATCAGGTCTTGACAGAGATGTGGGTGATTTGGTACCCATGGTGGTGAAATCCGTGAGTGGAATACTTCGATCCAATCTGCATTAAGATCTATTGGCAATTTGTTGCATTTCTTTCTATTATTAAATTAACTGATTTTATTCCAGACTTCTTTGATAGGGGTGATTTGACTTAGGCTTTCGAAGTATTTTTTCCATTGTTGTTTCTTAGTCTGTTTAAAAGTTTTCTTAGCTACAGAGTTTTTTATATTCTATAAGATTTTGAACATTTGGATTTGCTTTGTAGATTAGGAAGGCTTGTTTTTGTGTTTTTGCAGCTGTGTCACAATTATTATCCCACCACTGTTTTGGATAATGGTTTCTGCGTGAGTTAGAATTCGTTGATATTTTTCGAATTGAAATTTCAGCTGCCTTATTTATATTATTTATTAGATTACTATATTGTCTTTCAGGGGTTTTCTGAAGCAAAATTGTGAAATATAAGTACAAATCAGCTCGTTTAAGACTACGTGGATGACATTGTGAATATTTGCAATTCGAATTTTGTAAATAAAATTAGTCTAGTAGTTTCTTGTTGTTGAGTGCAACATATAAAGAGTAGGTTCTTTCATTCGCTATTGATGCAGTGTTCTCCAGTGTAAATTACACCACACCAGCAGAGGAATAATTATGACACGTTACTTATCAAATAGAAAGATACATTATATAAGAATCGCAGTCTGTCTAACGAAGATAGGCATCTCGATATGAGACGTATCGAAAGATGAGAATCTCACTGCTGATGATAGCTGTGTTTAAGCTTTTGTGTAAATTACGTAATTTATCAATGATTTGCTGTAAATTATTTGCATTTTACATTTACCTTTCGATTAAATTGCGCTTTCTTTAATGTTTTTAAAATTGATTGCGCTTTCTTCAGAATGATTCGTTCTTGTTTGGAACATAATCTATCGAAACAAACCGTATTTACCTTAGTTTCCCATTTTATTCCTTATGCACTTGTCGAGGGTAATTTACTCCTGCTAAATAACTGGTGGAACAAGTGTCCACCAGGGGACACCATATCAACAACTGAAAGATATAGTGTCCGTTGATGTAGTTTATTCCTATACCAGTGGGACGAACGAAAGAACCTAGTTATTAGTTTTTAAAAATCGTATAAGTTTAATTTAAACATTTTTAATTAAATGTTTGTGTATGCTCACCTGGAGCCCTTGCGAAAGAGTTCGTGTTAAAAGCCGGTTGAACTGGTAACATAAAATTTCTTCTGTAATTGTTTATTTCTTTCGACAAGCTGGCGTAATCCATTGGAATAAACTGTTGAGTAAATGGTACTACTACGTATAAGTAACCGTGCTGAAATTGACTGGCATCGTCTAGTACGTCTCCGTAGATTGAGCAAATATATTGAACATCTGTAAAATACATTAAATAAGCAGACATCGTAACATTCGTTAGAAACAGAAATGGTACTTACCCTCTGGTATACCCAGAAGTTTAGCTAAATAGTTTCTAATAAGATTCCAGTCCTTCATATCGTGCTCATTGAAAATAACCTTTTGCGGCGGTCTAGTTTTTCCACTTATCGCAATGTAAACGACAGTTAGTTTCTTCTTTTGCATCGCTTGAAGAAAGGGAATGCTTTTTGGATTTAAGTCTCCTGGAAAAGAAGCGAAAATAAGTTATTATTTGAAACGGCCATGGTTTAACACAATATAAAATATATCTCTTTAAATATTTTTAAAACATAAAGAGCTATTTAAGTGATTTTTTATTCCAAACACTTTATATAGTAAGTAGGTAATCTGTAGTTGGCCCTTGGATGATAAAAATTCAATGGTACTTATATAAGCACAAAAATAATAAATTTTCCTTGTTCTGCTTATGTTAGAAATAAAGATAAGCATTTATAGACCCCTCTAATTTACAGTATTTTATGTACTTTGGAATACTAAACTGATTGATCTTTCCAAAGAGCTGCCTTTGTTTGAACACTATAATTTTTATATCGCTCTTTTGATTTTTTAGGAAGAAGATTTATTGTCACCAATTATTTATGTTCAGCGAGATTTTCAACAGGTGGTCATCTTGGCTGATACTGATCAACTGCTCCAAAAATATATTGCTTTTTAAGGCCAGGCTTTATAAAACGCCTGCGTGTTTTCGAGGAATAATGCAGAGTAGCCGTCTTTTTCTTCATAGGCGTTCTCTATTAGGTATGTAATCCTCTGGATTTGACCTATTGTGGAATCTTGTGTTCTGAATTCAAATTGACCTTTTATTTAATTTTTCTCTCACTATGATCACTTTTAGCCTCTCTTTTTTATATTACATTAATACGACTATAAGATTTATATTCACCTGGTGGTTTCCTATGTTTCTGAATCATAATTGATTTCCGAAATTTGTAAATTTGACAATACCTTTCCTTGGAAGTTTCTTGAGTAAGAACTTCCAAAACTTTCGCACATATTTGTAGATAGAATGGTTATATTTAATCCAATTTAGAAAAATTACTTACCAACATAGAATAATTTCTTTAGTGATTTACTGCGATTCACTTTTGTGTGTGCTGGTATCTCGTAGCCGCCTGGAGGCACTTTGACTTTGCAGCTAGCCCCGAGCGCTATGTATTTCTCGTTAGAATCCAGTTCTTCGAAAGCGTGCACAGACTGCATGGTACTGAGAGCAACCAACCTCTTCACCACTCCGAAGTTGGGCTGTACAGTATTTGTGACGTGCGCCAGGATAGGAGGCCAACTCCTGAAGTCCTTCGGGTTGATGGTCACCTAGTAGTAATGTTAATATTAATTATTATTAAATGTTACACATTTACAATAGTTAGAGAAATATTTCAGTAGATAAGAAATGGTGCTCTAAGATCACTTTGGTAACATGTCCATTTAGCTCTTATGTTCAAAGAGTTTTTCGTTTAAGAGAGATTAAATAAGCCCCTGGAGACTCGAAGATAGAAAACAGAAGCTAAAGGAGTGACGTAATAGTATCTAATACAAGAAGTCAACCAAAAGGAGACATATCATTCATAGTAGCCTTGCCAAAAGGTTCCATTATTACTGGGACGATTTGAATGAAACTAAACGGGAACTATAATTTAAATGTTATTTACATGGGTTCCAATAAATGAAACTGCAGACAAATAGAAAGAGATTATTAATATAAACAATTATCGAAATAGTTATATGAATATAAGGATAGTAAGTAAAAAGGCCAATGTGAGGTCCGTAGACCAATTCTACCATATTTGTTATATTTGGAGAAAATAATGAAAATATACATTATAAAGATATAAATATATAATGATTGTTCACTGAAAATATATTTCTTTGTATTCACTTTTTAAATAAGTTACAGAAAATTTTGTTACATCTGATCAGCCTAATAACGGTTTTCGTTTAGATTTAATCATGTTTCCAAGGTTTTTAGTATAATAAACCTTTTCTTTTGACAGATAATTTGGACTTTATGTATTTTGTATTAGTATATATTATAATTTTGTAGTCATATTAGAATAGTGAGTTTATTAGAAAATATTGCAAGCACAAGTACGCGTAGACGACCTAGGGGACATAAAGCATTATCTTCAGAAGAAACAAATACCGTACTTAATGTATTTATTAATCTTCGAAAAGACTGTTTTACTTTCTGTGGATGAAACAGTCATTAACTGTGAGATCTATACTGGAGTATCAAAGCGGATAGTGTATAACATTATTAAAGAAGATACAGTTATTTGAGAAGTCTCACATCCGAAAAAGCCCCCAGGAAGAAAAAATACCTCTATTAAAACTTGAGTAAAGAATGTTTATTAAATGATTATTTAAAGCAATAAACAATTTCAATTTTTTTGGAAATACTTTATTTTCTCAGTTTAAACACAAGGAAAAGTTTGTGAAAATTTTGCAAAGATTTTTATTTTCTAAAACAATATGACAATTGACATTGGAAGTGTCTAAAAAAAATGCAATGTTGCCTTATCAATTATTACATATCAATAGTAATTTTCACCTATGCCCTGTGTTGTAACAGGCCAACAAAATGACTTGCAACTAATAATAAAAAAATGTACAACAAGAAGATGAAGCAACGACTTCTCTCTCGTAGTGTGGTGGCTTGCATTTCAACGTCAGTGTCAAAGCGTTACGTAGCGAGCCACGTCTTCATCGCTGGGAACAGGTGGTAGTGGGTTCGCGGGGAAAACCATCCAAGAGTTTTTGATTACGATTGACCGTGTGTGGGCGAGCATTATCGTGAAAAAAAACTTTGTTGCTATGTTTTCTCCCACAATAAATGTTAATTAGTTTGTGATTTTTCGCCAACAAAAACCTTATCACAGCCCACTCACACATAAAGCTACAATAGCTCTCGTAAGCTGTAGAAGAATATGTGTGTGTGTGTTTTGTATGATGGCCTTGATCTCAGATCAATTGGCCAGAGCTTATGTTATTAAAACGAATCTAAACCTACTTACAATTTTCACAAATTACAACAATACAATAATTAATAATGAAGGAACCTAAAATCTATTAAAAGTACAAAATTTTCATCATATTAACAAATAAACAACAGTTAAAACAGTTTTAAATATATATTTTTTTTTTTTCTTTTTCTTTTTTCCTTTTTTTTTGTTTTCTTGTTTTTTTTTTGTTTTGTTTTTATTAATTTTTTTTTATTATATCTGTATTTTTTTTTAAATATCTTGATTCATTTTTTTCAAATGTTCATATATAACATAGTACAGTTTTATATTTTTTGAACATAAAAGCGCATCTAAGTTGGTGGGGAGTGTTGCTCCTGTTAATTGCAGGTTCTTGTAAAATTCTTCATTTAGATTTTGAAAATTAGGGCAGCTAAAGATTAAATGTTGTAAATTGTGGGAAAAACTGGGGTCTAAACCCCAAAATGACCATATGGTTATACACAAGGGTAATAAGACCCATGATAACCTATGGCGCAGTGGCGTGGGTAACCAAAACTGCGCAGTCAAGTGCAATAGGCCAACTTACTAGCATTCAGCGGCTTGCCTGTCTAAGTGCTACTGGGGCCATGCGCACTACGCCGACTGCAGCAATGGATGTATTATTAAATCTCATGCCACTGCACATCTTTATAAAAGAAAAAAACCAGGTCAGCTATTCACAGGCTAATGCAGGGACAAAACCCAATAAGCCAACTACATAGCGCCGACCACACACGGCTATATCAGCAAGTAGAAAGGGATAATATTTTAGCAATGCCTACTGATAGAGCCTTCATCATCATCATCTGAATTAGGGCGTGGTTCAAAGCCCACTTGTACTGAAGCTCTAGGCTTATTGTACCCCTCACAGTTTCTATCCCATCAGATTGATTTTCTTGATGAATTCAAGAATATGTCTGATGGGCGCTTTCGCGATTTCTTCAGGTTCCGGATATTGTACCCCGAAGTACCATTCCCGTTCCCATTTAAGGTTCCGGCAGTGGCATAGTATGTGAATAGGAGTTTCGTCCTCCTCTTCACATATTCTGCATAGGGAGTCATCAGATATCCCTAAGAAATTTAGGTGTCTTCTAAGGCCGCAGTGTCCCGTAAGGAGTCCTATTACGGCCTTGAGTTCGCTTCTGCTAAGGTTTAGCAGTTGATGTTGTCTGCTCGTGGATGGCCCCTCTATGAATCTTTTGGACTGTCTAAGTCCAGGAAGTTCTATCCAGAGCCTATGGTGTTCTCTTTTTATTTGTTCCTTTAACACCCATTTAACATGTTGGTATGAGATACCACATGTGGGTTCTGGTCCAATAAGAGTTTTTTCCGCTCCCTTCCTTGCTAGGAGGTCTGCTTTCTCGTTTCCAAACATTCCCTCATGTCCTGGCACCCATTCAAGGGTAATCTTGTTATGTTCTGCCAGAGCCTGGAGGGATTGTTGGCAATCAAATATTGATTTCGATTGTACTTCTACCCTTTTTAGTGCTTTAAGGGCTGCCTGACTGTCTGTCATGATAACGATTCTCTTATCTCTAAGAGAGTCATTTAGCATGACTTTGGCGCAGGCATTTATTGCTGCTACTTCAGCCTGGAAGACTGTTGTCAGTGACCCCAGGTTCAAACTAATTGTCCTCCCTGAGTTCTCATGGTAGATCCCAGCTCCTGTGCTGTTTTTCATTTTCGAACCGTCTGTATACCAGATTGATTCGTTTTGTTTTTCCCTTTTTTCCCGGCTTTTGGCCCTTTCTGGTATTTGAATATCAAAAGGTTTCTTGAAGTCGTGAATAATGGGCGTTCTATCCGATGGCATTCTTAGTACCGGATTTTGTTTTAATTTCTCTAATATCATTGTGTGGTGTCCTTTTCTCGAAAGTTCCCATCCAAATCCATTAGTAAACAGCCTGTATGCCGCCGCCATAGCCTCCTTCTCCACCACAAGGTGTAGTGGAGGAAGACCTAGCAGTAGCTCCATTGCTGCTGTGGGCGTAGTTCTAAATGCCCCTGTTATTATTAGGCAGGCTAGTCTTTGTACCTTGTCTAATTTTCTGTTAGCTATTATGCTTTTAGTCTTGTGCCACCATATGACTGATGAGTAAGTTATGACCGGTACTACAACCATAGTGTAGAGCCAGTACATCATACTTGGTTTAAGCCCCCAAGCATTCCCTACCATCCGTCTACAGGCCCATAGTATTCTTACAGCTTTTTCTGTTGTTTTTTCTATATGGCTACAGAAGCTAAGCTTGTCATCGAGAGTGATTCCAAGATATTTAACCTCCTTTGCCATTTTTAGATGTTGTCCCCACATATAAAGCTCCTTCATTCCTTGAAGGTTCCTTTTTCTTGTGAATGCAACAACAGAGGTTTTTGTCGGGTTTGTGGACAGTCCCTCTTTTAGGCACCATCTTTCGACGATATTTAGTGCCCGCTGCATCCTTTCGGATACAACAGTCCCAAATTTACCGTTTACTACGATGCTTATGTCGTCTGCAAATGCTTGCGTGTATAAGTTTTCTCTCTCTAACTCCCATAAGAGGTCATCAACCACCAAGGTCCACATAAGAGGAGATAGCACTCCTCCCTGCGGGCATCCCTTGTTAACTGAGACCTCTCTTGTTGTGTTAAGGAGATTACTGGTAATGGTCCTATGATTAAGCATGAACTCTACCCACTTCGTAATGCAGTGGGCTACTCCACGCCTTTGCATAGATCCCAATATTGAATTGTATGAAGCCGAGTCAAAGGCTCCTTCTATATCTAGGAAGACTCCTAGTGCTATTTCTTTGCTTTCCAATGCTTATTCAGCCCGTTGAGTTAGCCTATGTATGGCTGCATCGCAAGACTTTCCAGATTGGTAGGCAAACTGGTATCGATGTATCGGTTTATCCCGTAGAACATCATCCCGTATATATGTATCGATCAATTTCTCCAATGTTTTTAGGAGAAATGACGTTAGGCTGATTGGTCTGAAAGATTTCGTCTGCTCGTAGGAAGCTTTCCCGGGTTTGGGAATGAAGACCACTCTTGCACACCTCCAGCTTTGTGGAACATATCCGAGGGCTAGATAGAGCCTTAACCACATACAGATTTGAAAGAAATTTTCAAATTCAAATACTAGCCCAAGAATCCTGTAAACTGGGACCTCCTGTACAGGCTTAACTCGTCTGGTACACAGACGGTTCAAAAACCAAGGAAGGAGCCGGTGCTGGAATCTATGGACCCAAGTCGAAATCAACGATTTCGCTGAGTTTAGGAGAATATGCAACAGTGTTCCAGGCTGAGCTAATATCCATACAACACTGTGCAAGAAAAATATTAAATCAGGAAATATCAGGTAAAACTATTGCCTGATAGCCAAGCAGCTCTAAAGGAAATTCTCTCACCAAAAATTAAATCACGACTGGTGAAAGACTGTCTAGAAGACCTGACAGAGCTAAGCAGTCAAAATAAAATTACCCTAGCCTAGGTTCCAGGCCATAAGGGATATCAGGGCAAAAGGCCAACGAATTAGACCGAGAAGGCTCAGATAAGGCCATAACAGGCCCCGAATCCTTCTGTGGAGTTGCTAAGGCATTGTTTAAGGCATCCATTAAACAATGAATGCAAAAAGAGTCTCAGTAATAATGGAATAACTATCCAAGACTGAGACAGGCCAAACAGTTCATCAAGGAACCATCGGCCAAATTCACGAAAGACCTACTGGATCAAAAGCGTCAAATCGTTAGGATAACAGTAGGCCTTCTTACTGGACACTGTCGCCTCAAAAGGCACATGAGTGTTATAAATCCAGCAGAAGAAGCAACTTTGTGCAGGTTCTGTGAAGAAGAAAAGGAAACATCATTCCACGTCCTGTGAAGGCCTGACTGGAATGAGGTTTCTAACATTGGGCGAAGAAAAGCCAAATGCATGCAACTACATGCGGGAGCCACTGTCAAAGCTACTAAGTCTAATAAAAAAGAACAGGCTAAACGACATACTCTAAAACAAACGGAGTCCCACAATAGATCTGAAAAGGTCGCGGTGGATAAACACAAATAACGTTCAACTCCTAATCTAATCTAATCTACCACAGCATAAAGTTTATTTAATACATTGACCAGTGATCACCATGGAGAAAAGATTAATGTGACCACATTACATTTGAGATAATGGATAAACTTTCAGTCATGATTATAAAGTAAATAGTTTTGTTTCGGGTTTCAGGTTGTTACATTAATTTAATGGTTAAATACGTCTTCTTGCTAACACAAGAAACCTATAATATAAGAAATAAAAAAAACCAGAATCTTTTTTATTTCATCTTAATATTTTCCATTTACCTATTATTATTGCCTTATTTTTAGCTATTTTTAGTTTTATTTAAAATAATACCCAAAATTTACATTTTATAAATAAATCGTTATAAATATAAATAAATGGTCTCAATTCATAAAAAAATGTAGCACCAAAACATGATTATACAATTATAGTTACGATTTGTTTGCTTATTGTAAACAAATCTTTAATCTTTGATGGCGCACATAATATTCACGTTCAAAGCGTGCTTCCAAAAAATTATTCAGACATTTAAAAATTGTCGCCATTGTTTAGTTTGTACCCCATCCACTGTGAGGGCGCTGAAATCAGCTACGAAAATTATACATTGAGTGTACTGTCAATAAACAATATATCGATGGCTTAAGTGCAAAACGTCGTAACCCACAAAATTTCAAAAAATCGCTTTTCGCGTCATTGGAGTCGTATGTTTTAGCTGCGTCTTGTGAAAAACTATCGTAAGCAACATTATAAAATGAAATTAATATTACGCGCCAAAACAAAAAGTTGCTCTTCGAAATTACGTCTAAAGTCTATTTGGCTTTTATTCCCCTGTAAAATTTACTTTTTGGGGTTACGACGTTTTGCACTTAAGCCATCGATATACAAGGTCTGTGGTACTGAGTGTAGGAACACTCTAAAGACAAGATGGCAGCGCTAGCCCCGTCCACTGTCGCGACAGAGCAAAACATCTGTCAAATTCTCAATTATTTCCCAATGAATATATTTAAAAATTCTTGCCATGTCGTGGCTAGATATTTACGATTTTGGCGGGAAATTTAAATTTCGCCTTAAAATCTCCAGTCTCATATCGCTGCAAACTTAGTGCCATCTCTTTAACAATTGAGATGCACTTCTACGGCCACTACGGGGGATATATTTTTCTGCGTAGATTATTCTTAATATACAACTTTCATTTGTTTTTGTTACACTTGTAAACTTTACAATAAAGGTTTATTAAAAATTGGGTTGTTTCTTGTGGTTGCAACTGTCTTTAATCATCTATGTATACTTACCATCCGAAAAAGGGAGCGCAGTATACATAAGTTCAAACGAACTTACCTTAAGAGCAAACCGAACGCCCCGAAAATTTATTTCCTTCTGGGCCTTTATTTTTATCCCGATTTTTGTAAAATTTTCAGGAAACCTTGATTTTTTTGTAAACCTTATTTTTTATTTTGATAATTTTTAAAAGGAATTAAAAAAACATTTACGCGCCACTCTGTATTAAATCTATGAAATTGTTCTGCTTTTTATTCCCAGTATTTCCTGTGGCGCGTATATAAATATAATATTATATTAGAAAATCCTTAAAACATTTTTGCTTTCGCGAGAGGTCCGGTTTGCTCTTTAAGAGCAAACTGCACCTTATATGCTGTACCTTATATTGCCATCATATCCACTCTTGTTGCATAAACTACTATTTTTTTTTCTTTTAAAAATTGTCAAAATAAATACTTTCCGAAGGATTACAAGTTTTGTTATTACGGGTATTTCTTGAATATTTCGCAATAATGGGACCAAAAATAAAGGCTCAGAAGGAATTATAAATTTTTAAGTAAAGTTCGATTTTGATTATACACCAGGCCTTCTTTCGAGGATGATCTCTCCCAACCCATCCTTCTAAATCCCAGATTATAGCGACAGGGTTTTGAAAAAATGATAGCCACGCCCGTAGCATGCGAGCATTACTTAGAGAGTTAGTTCTTAAGTTTTGGCTTTGGACTCTGTTGCACAACTAGCTCACAAAGGTGTACTACGTTTACTTATTATCTAAAGAAGGAATCGCAGTATACAATTGAGATAGTTAGATTTATGTGTTTGAAAATGTTGCAATAATTGTGGCAGTTGCGCCTGAAACGAATTTAAAGCTATGAATCTATTCCTTAAAAAAATTATTCGTAAAAATCAGGGTTACCTGATAGCAGTGTGACTCTCCATTGATCCAGGCGTAAATCCTTTTGGTTTTGCCGAATTCTGGTTCGGCTAGAATTTCATACTTTGTTAATTTGTTCTTGGGTTTCATAATAAAAAATATATAAATAACGGTGCTACTGATGATTTAGATTATAAATTTCAATACGGCCTGTGACAGATTTTAAATTTGGATTAATGTTAATCGTCAATGTGACATTTTGTGCTTAGATACTATTCTTGGTCATAAATGTTAAAGGATTGATCATTTTTGTACAAAATGTGTTTGAAGTCTAATGTTGTTATCTGTAAGCATACCATGATCTGTAAGAGCTTATTTTTTTTTAATGCTAAATATTGCGAAGACGCCCTTTTCTTGAAAATATTTTTTTTACAAATTTTACATTTTAGGCTTAAGAAAGAAGAGTATTTTTCAAATATACCACCAGGAACCCCATAAATTAATGTTTTTTTTTTTAAATTACATATTAAAGGCTTATGAGGATCGTGATTATTTGTGTAAACTTATTCATAAGAATTTAGAATTATATCTGTCATGCTCTGTCATTAGGTCTTTTTCTTTGTATCGAAAGTGTAGCACTGAGCTACACTACTTCTGAAAATATCGTTCTATTCACACAATTTGTATAAATGGAACGACATTTTTAGAAAGCAAGTATGAAGACTGATACAAGTAATTCCAATATAATGGACTTAAAATATATACTTTAATGCTGTTTTATGAAGCAAAATCCTGGTTTTAAAAATAAATATTTTTAATTTGATGTTAATTACAGTAATTAATAAAATTAAGTAGTCATATTTTTGTTATGTTCGGTCAATAAATGTTTGAATTTTCTGGTATTATGTTAAAAGTTCTCAATGAAGTAAAAAAAAAAATTAAAAACTGATTTCTAGTAATAATCCAGATTATGATTATTCTTTTAGCCCTGGTAATGGGTATTGTACCTAGGAATCTGAAATTAGATTTAAATTGAGCCTATTTTTAAATAAATCAATTATCTTTCAAAAGAGTATTTAAAAGGTTATATTTAGGGCTGCATTAAATATTCAATCAGATTAGATTTTGAAAAATTTACTTAGGATTAAGTAGGGTTTCATTAAAAACATGTTTATATAATATTCTTGTAAAGTAATAGTAAAATGTCTTTATTTTATAAATATACAACATTGATCCTAAGAAGAATAGGTAGATTATTTCATTAATTCTTAATCTTCTCAGTTTACAACTTATTTGCAAATAACAAAACTATGTACCAAAAACATAATGTAATGATTGTTGTATATTTCCCTTTAAAATCACGCACTAGATTTGATAAAGCTGATATTAAAATATACCACAAAAAAATTGGATATTTCAAGAAAAAATAGAATAAAAAGTATAAATACAAAAGTAGTATTATTTAAAAACGAATATTTTCTTTTTTAAATAAAATCGTATTTTTTTTTTTCAACTCCTAGCACTGTAATGACCCACCCCCAATACCCCTTTTTGTTCATTGTTTGAACGTCTCAAATTGTATTATTTACCTCACAAGTTTATTTTACTTTAAATTCTATACTTACTGTATTTGGTCTTTTTCCTCTAGTAGCAGAAATGGTGATCGTCTAGTTAATTAATTGATAATTTATATACTCACGTTGTGATAATGTTATTTAAGGTATACCAGGATTCGATGCAAAGTTTGGTACAAATTTATAAATAAAACCATACAAATTTATATTTATAATATACATATAATATATAATTTATTTTCCACAAAAAAATGTAAATATAATAACAGATTTACAATAGTAAATTTAAATGGTTGCGGAAAATAAACTGAGCACCCACTGAAATCTCAAGGAGAGATTTGTGCGTGAGTTTTGCGTTTACTTTACAGAACTATTTTTAACATTTGTAATATTTTTTGCTTAAGCCCTAATTAAAAAAAAAAAAACCAAAAATTCTTTATAGACAACTTAAACTAACAGAGAAAACAGAAAAAAAAGTATATATGCAAGAAAGGTAATATACGTAATCCCTGTTTATTTAGTGAGTAGGTAGTTTTTTTAATATTTTTTTTTAACCATTTTTTAACAATTTTTTTTAATTTTTTTTAACAATTTTTTTTTACATATTTGTTTTATATATATATATATATATATATATATATATATATATATATATATATTTTTTTTTTAACATGGTATTTAATATCTTTTTTTTACATAGCTTTTTAATTTTTTTTATATTCGTTTTTTTTTTAAATATCCCAGTGCTAGTTAAGAAGGTGAGTAAGACATAAAATAAGGTAATTTAATAAATTTTTTGATATATATTTTTTAATTTTCAATTATTTTTATAATTTCTGTTTTGGGCAGTGTACTCATAAATTTCTTTACTTTATTTTTAAAAAGGTGTGTTTTCTTAATTTCTCTTATATTATCAGGTAATAACATGTATAGTCGTGGTGATATATAACTAAACGACCGTTGTCCTAGTTTTTTATTCGCTTTCATTGTCGCTATAGAGGCTTTGTTTTTATATCGTGTAACGTTTAAACTCTTTTATTTTGTATACTTTAAATGTGATAATTAGCAAACTATATTACAATTAATTGATCCTATTTACTAAGCTCTCACTTGAGTCACGTTCAAACGCATTTGCTATCAAGATATATTTTATTTAGCTTGATGACCAACGGAGTTGACAAACAACATGAATTCGCCAGATGGTTATAGTCCTTCCATTATCAATTGCAGAACACAGTTATGTGGGGAATCATCAATATTTAATATATACGCACGGTACTCATGCCAAATTAAGAAACGAAAAATAATGTTTACTCCCCTTATACAAAGCGGTAAATATTAAACGAACCATCAGTTGTTTACCAATGAAAACATCGAATCGTAAACTTAAATGCACTGTATTGGCCGAAGGTTTACGGAAGGCAGGTGTTCGAAAATATTCCTGGAAGACAGTCTGCGATATCAGTGGAGTACTGTCGTGCAGTGTGTTTTGTATGTGTTGTTGGTTTAATTTAAATTTCTTTTAATAAATATAAATATGGCGTTCTTTAGACCGTGGGCGAATGAAGAAAATAAAATTGCACAGTGTAGTGAGATTAAAGACAGGTATGACTTTAACAATAAGGATTTAGATATACAAACACAAGTTATTTTAAATATATTCGAATGTTTAAAAAAGGAAAATATTCAGCAGTCTGATAATGCGATCATAATAAGAATTGCTGAATTAACTAAAGTAAATAAATTTTCCATTTATCGGATAGTCACAAAAGGGGTTGCTGTGGATCATTCACAAAACCGAAAAACATGTAAAGAAAACTGAAATCAGTTGACAGAGCTACCCAAGATTTTATACGAAGACAATTTATAGTTTATATAAGGAGAACAGGGTTCCAATATTGGAAGTAATACAGCAAAAGGTAGCAGATTTTCCAGGATACACTTATACCAGTTTGAAAACATTGCGTCAAATTTTGTCAGCATGTGGTTTTAAAATTGAATAAACAGATAGCAATCACCGAATCGTCAAGGATAGTTCAATGGCGACAAGATTATTTGCGTCAGATAAAAGGCTACAGAAGTTCTAATAGACACATAATTTATCTAGATAAAACATGGTTTGACAGTCACGATGTAGTAAATTTCGGTTGGGTTGGCAGTAGTAAAAATTGCTGTTTGAATGGGCCATGTTCTAAAGGGAAACGCCTTATAATAGTACACGCTGGAAGCAAAGACGGTTTCGTGCCTAATGCTTTATTATTATCTGCTAAACAAATTTAAAACTGTGCAGCTGATTATCATGAAGATATGACAGCAGAATTATTTGAAAAACGGTTTAATGAACAGCTTTTACCTTACATTCCACCACAGTCAGTAATCGTTATGAACAACGCATCATACCACTCGCGGCAACTCCTTAAAATACCAAATAGTAGCAGTAAAAAAGCTCAAATTTTAGCTTCTATGTCTGAAAAAAATATTCCTATTCCTGCCAGTGATAGTAAAAAAGGACCAACAAACAAAGAATTGCTTACTGTTATTAAAGGTATAAAGTTAGAAAAAATGTATTATATTGACAAGCTGTGCAAACTCTTCTCAGACTACCTCCTTACTATTGCATATTTAACCCGATAGAGTTAATATTGGCAAACTTAAAATTAAAATTACGAAAATATAATCAGTTTCCAGAACTGAGTAAAGAAGTTGTAGAACTCGTAAAGAAAGTTCTAGCAGCAGACCGCCAAGATCTTTGGCAAAACTGTGTTGAACATGTTATCAAAAAAGAAGATGAGTATGTAGTATTACCATCTTTACAACCCATCATAATTCAACCAAATGATGACTCTAGATCAGAGGATTCAGACTGCCATGATTATGTATAAAGATACTTTAGAATTGAAATGTTTTTTTTTTCTTTTGTTTTATTTGCAAAGAATTTATTTTCCTTTATGGTTTTTTCTTTGAAATTTCGTTTTCCAGAAAAAGAACGAATGGGGTACAAAAAGGGTTCAGTTCACGTCTGGTACCCTGTTTAAACCAAACGCCCTTACAGGCAGGTACACTTTACTCGCTTTTTTACGTTTTATAATTTAATATTCAGTTGTAGCAAGTTAACGAGCTATACTGATTTTTTTTAAGTCCAAGTAAGATTAAAATTAAGTGCATCTGTCTAAAATAAGGGCGAATAATAACGTCCAATTTATAATTATTCGATTTCCTTTTAACGAATACTTTCTTGCATATGATATATATTAAAAGTATTAATAAAATAAATTTATAAAATGAGGTAGGTATCTACGCCTATGGCAGATCAAACAAAATTGTCGGTAAAGGTTCCGAACGAGTTTTTATGATCTGCAATTGATAATGGAAGAACTATACCTTACTGTGTTGATTTCACATTACTTTTGTTTCAAACACAGTAGAGCGGGTGGCTTAGTATAAGGTGCCCCCTTGAGCTAACGAACAGTGTCCTTTTACCAGTTGGTTAACTAACTGTTAAATTTTACCATCTGGGTTTGTATAATTTATCCAAGATAATACATCCATGTATATTTCTAAAATACTGATAATTAT